TTAGCCTGGATGAAGACAGATCTGAGGGGAAATTCAGTGAGGACATTGATGATATGGCCCTGAAAGTAATATTGCAGCTTTCTTGAGGCGATGAGCAGTGCGTAAGCTAGTTTTTCCAAGGGTAGGTACCGTGTCTCGACATCTAGTAGAGTCTTGCTAATGTAGTATACTGGCCTTTGTTCCTTGTCAACCTCTCGAATCAATATCGCACTTACGGCGTGATCTAAGACTGCTAGATATAGGTACAGTTCCTCCCCTAGTTCTGGAGTGGACAGGAGAGGTGGTGTACTGAGGTATTTTTTGAGACCTTGCAATGTTTCGGTATATTCAGGACCCCATTCAAATGCAGCCTTTTTTCCTAGTAGTTGGAAGAAGGGCTTTATCCGATCTGAAGACTTGCTGATGAACTGATTTAGGGCGGCTGCCATTCCAACCAGTTTCTGTAGCTCTTTAGCCTTTGTTGGTACTTCAAGCTCTTGTATTGTTTTGATTTGATCTGAATTTGCCTCAATTTCTCTGTAAGTAACCATGTACCCTAAGAACTTCCCTGTTCCTATCCCGAAAATACATTTTGAGGCATTAAGGCGAAGCTGATGGCTTTTCAAGATACCAAAAACTTCTCTTAAGTCTGTAAGGTGGTTTGTAGCGAGCTTGCTTTTCACTACCATATCATCTATGTAAACTTCTATGGTTTTTCCGAGCTGGTCTTTGAACATTCGAGTGATCATTCGCTGGTAGGTTGCCCCGGCATTCTTGAGGCCGAACGACATTACTTTGTAGCAATAGGTGCCTCTTGGAGTAATGAATGCTATCTTCTCTTGATCTAGGCCAAATAATGGTATTTGGTGATAGCCACTATAAGCGTCCAGAAAGCTCATACGTTCATGTCCTGCTGTTGAATCTACCAGTTGATCAATACAAGGTAAAGGAAAACTATCCTTGTGACAAGCTCTGTTTAGGCAAGTGAAGTCAACGCAAACTCTCAATTTTCCATTCTTCTTTTTGACTACAACTGTATTGGACAGCCATTGTGGGTACTAAGCTTCTCTAATCGCCCCCGATGCTAGGAGTTTTTCGACCTCGGCAATTACTACTTTAGTGTGCTTAACTGAGGATCTCCGACTTTTTTGCACGATAGGCCGAGCGGAAGGGTTGATGTTGAGTTTGTGGCAAGCAAAATCTGGATTCAACCCTAGAGTATCATATGCTGACCATGCGAATACCTTCATATTTTTCCTCAGCAAATCCAGCAGCTGAAGCTTCTCATCAGTGCCTAGCGAGGTATCGATTAGGAAGTACTTTTCTGGGTCACCCTCCTTTACTAGGATTTTCTCTAAATCCTCTACTATCTTTTCCGCTAGGGCTCCTCCTACATCCTCCAAGACTGGTTGTTCGTCTACTTCAACTGTCTGTACTCGATTGCAAAGTTGTTTAGCCTTTATAGCTGCCATGAAGCAATGATTTGACGCAACTTGATCCCCTAAGATCTTCTCTACTTCGTGTTCCATTGGGAAGCAGATGAGTTGGTGGTAGGTTGAAGGGACCGCTTCCATTTAGTGAATCCAAAGACGGCCGAGTATGGCATTGTAAAGAGAAGGTGTATTAATAACTAGAAATTCTATCTACAGGGTCTTTGTCCCAGCCACAACTGGCAACACTATCTTGCCAAGTGGCCATTCAGGTTGTGAATTGAAACCGACCAAGGGAACTGCCGTTGGGGTGAGGTGCTGCTCAGAGAGACCGAGCTTCCTGAACAAGTCGTAATATAGTATATCTACTGCACTGCCTTGATCTACCAGGACTTGTTTTACATCAAATCGTTTCCTAATTCCCACAATTATAATCAGTGCATCAGTTTGTGGGTGCTAAATGCCTTCTAAATCCTTTCTAGTAAATGAAACAGTGCACAAGGGGGGCTTGGGTATTGTGCGTACCTTTTTTGGCGCGGGCCCTACTAACATGACCTGTTGAATCTGCTCAGCTTTGGCAATTTCTTCTTGAAGCCTCTTCATGCTCGTGGCTAGTTGTTCTATGGATTACATTTATTACCAACCGAGGAGGATGCTCAATGTTTGGTTCTGGTAGAGGGTTAAACCAAAGCTAAGTTCGTTTGATAAACCTCAAGCTAATTCTGTTTGGTAAACACCAAAGCTAAATCTATTTAATAAACATCAAAGTTAATTCCGTTTGGTAAATACCAAAGCTGAATCCGTTTGGTAAACACCAAAGCTAAATCCATTTGGTGAGCATCAAAGCTAAATTCGTTTGGTAAACACCAAAGCTAAGTCCATTTGGTGAATACCAAAGCTAAGTTCTAAATTCTCTTGCAATGAAGCTGGGCAGATATTAAGCATAGAAGAAGAAGAAAAAAATAATAATTTGAGAGAAATGGGGAGGCATTTGCATTGATCAAAAGATAAGTGTCTTTACACTCTGATAGGGAAGTTAGGGGATAATTCTATTGATAGTATTTCTTGAGATTTGCTACATTCCAGGGTCGAGGTATGGCTCTGCCTTTGAGATCCTCTAGGTAGTAAGCTCCATTTCCAACAACGACTGTGACCTTGTATGGACCTTCCCTGTTAGGTCCAAGTTTTCTTTCGCCAGGCACCCTTTTGTGATCCATAACTTTCCTCAAAGCCAGTTCTCCAGGTGTGAATTTCCTTGGGCAAAGTTTTGGTTGAAACTCTTGATGAGCTGCTGCTGATATGCTACAAGTCTGATCAGTGCTGCTTCCCTTTGGTATGATCCATATTTTGTATCCATAAATGTATTCATAATGATGTGACGAAGGTGGGATGTCTTATATAATCGAGTGTATGATCAGTCAAAATTTGACACTTATCAGATCACATCATTATGGGTTGTATTGTGAGAGATTGTTGAGAATCTCAAACATTTTTCTTATAATTTTTTGGAACCAACAAGAGAATATATAAATTTTGAATTTTATATCATCTATGGTCTCATATAAGTACTAGTTTGTCTAATAAAGTTACTCCTTCTCTAACCCACTTAAAATTGTTAATAAATTAATGGTCAATAATTCATCATTCATTCACTGTTCAAAAAATAAAAATAAAAATAAAAATAAAAAATCACAGCTCAGTGTTGTACAATTCATCACACACCACTGCACTATGGAATTGTTGTACTATTGCATTATTGAAATGCAACAATATACAACGCAATCGTTTTTAATTGTAACATATTTCCATAATTGCCAACATTTCAGCTTGATTGCATATGTATGGATTATTACTATTGTGAATGCATGTCTATATACAATAGTATCTACTTGCCCATCACTAAAATTAATAGTTGTATGAGTCCAATATTTCAAACAGCTATAGTTATCACCCACGTCATGCGTATAAACTGAAAAATTGACAGAAATTGATATACCAAATTATTCGTTAGGAGAAATTTAGGATGGACACACTTTTAAATAGTTGTATGACTCCAATATTTCATACAGCTATAGTTATCACCCACGTCATGCGTCTAAACTGAAAAATTGACAGAAATTGATATACCAAATTATTCGTTAGGAGAAATTTAGGATGGACACACTTTTAAATGGTGCATATTATATTGTAAAAAATTTATAATTTTTTATGATGAACGTTATGATTGTTTGATGTGTGTTATGACATTTTATAGTGAAGTTATAAATAGTAAATTTATGATGTGCACCATAAAGTTAGGAATGATAATATTATGACATTTTGTGATTTTTGTTATGACATTTTGAGATTTTGTTATGATATTTTTCAGTGAAAAAAAATTATGACTTTTGTAGTGAAAAAGTTATGACCTTTTAGATTTAAGTTATGAAATTTTATGAAAAGCATACCATAAACACCATTTTAAGGGTGCACATTATAACATCTCCCTATTCTATATATATATATATATTATTTCTTAAATCATCTCCCTGATTGTTAATTACCCTATTTTTAATTGTAAATTTCCCTTATTTGAGAATAAACTCTACTCCTACTCTTGTTGTTTAGTTTTGAATTTAATAACACATTAAAGAGTTGACGAGGCCCTTAAATTTTTTTTATATATTTGCAATATTTGAGGTTTGTCCAATTACTCTGAATAGAAAAAAAAAAACAAAAAAAAAAACTACTTTATGACATTGTGACATTCTAAAATTAGGTGAAGAAAATGCTCAAAAAAATTATAACAATTTTGATGAAATTTAGAAATATATATATATATATATATTTTTTTTTTTTAAACTCTGGTTCAATGTCTATAGTCGAAACAAACAAATGTACAATTTGTCACTTTTTCTGTTTTTTGTTTTTGTTTTTGTTTTTTTTATTTTTAAAACTCTGGGTCAATGTAGATAGTCGAAACAAACAAATGTACAATTGGTCACTTTTTCGGGGACACACATGTATTGGGAAAATGTCTCGTAGCTCAAATTTTGTGGCTCAAAAGTGGCTCAAATGGTCAAAACGACGTCGTTTTGGCCATTTTTATGTTGTTTTGTACTCAAAAAGTTAGGGGATAATTCTATTGATAGTATTTTTTTTATTTTTAAAACTCTGGGTCAATGTAGATAGTCGAAACAAACAAATGTACAATTGGTCACTTTTTCGGGGACACACATATATTGTACATCAACAATGTTTCGTAGCTTGATTTTTAGTGGCTCGAGTGGCCCGATTTTTCACTTTTCAACCTCTCTCTCCTTTCTCTGTTTCTTCTATTCTTCTCCTTCAACAAATCTTCACTGTCTTTCTCCACCAATGCCCTCTTCCCGTTGTCCAAATCTTCTGCAGATATGCCTATATATATATATATTGTATACAAGTGGTGGCGTTGTGGGTTGTGCAGAGTGGAAATGGCAACCTCACAGTGCTTTGAGAACCCACCAAGCCTGAGCTCAATATGTGGATCAGGAAATCTCCAAGAGATTGGAGGGCTTAAGACCTATGTCACTGGTCCCCAAGATTCCAAGCTTGCAATCCTTCTCATTTCTGATGTTTTTGTAACTGCCCATCTCCATTTCTTCATCAATCTCTGTTACTTTTGTGTTCAATTTCTCAAACCCAAATCTGGGAAAGCTAACAAATCAAACCCAAAAATCTGGGAAAATAAATAAAACCCAAATCAGTCAAACCCAAAAATCAAAAATCAAAACCAATCAGCCACAAACAAAATCAATCAAACCCAAAACAGAGGGGGAAGAAAAGGAGCTTGTCATGGACTTCGACGGTGATCCGGATTGTGAATGTCGAAGAAGGAGGAGGCTTTTGGAGTGAAGAAGAAGAAGAAGAAGAAAAAGAGAGAGAGAGAGAGAGAAATCAAACCCAAATAAAAAATCTGTCTTCTCCTTCTCTTCTTCGGTCTTGCTTCTCTGTCTTCTCCTTCTCTTCTTCTGTCTTCCTTTTCCTCCTGTCTCCTTCCGTCTGTTTAGAGGCAAAACATTAAAAAAAAAAAAAAAAAAAAAAAAAAAAAAAAAAAAAAATGCTACCAAAACGACGCCAGTCAAGCCATTCGGCCACCATTGTTTTGAGCTACGAAACATAATTGTATTATACATATACCTTTAACCCATGTGGTTTTTTTTTTTTTCTCTTTTTTTGGGTAAATTACAAATACATACCCTGAGGTTTGTTTAAAATACGAATTGTTTCCTGTGGTTTGAAAAATTATAAATACCTCTCTATTAGAATTTTTTTATTTAACAGAATTAATTGAAAAAGTAAAATTTCTAACTATTCTTCTAGACAATAATAAAATTATCTGAATTATTAATTGAAATAAAATTTTAACATTATTAAAAACTGTTAATTAACTTGATTTATTAGTAAAATGACATATTTGTTATGAAATTAGAAACCTTAAGGGGCATAATGTAATTTATAGAACCACAGGGGACAATTTGTAATTTAAGTAAATCTCAGGGAGTGTGCTTGTAATTTACCCTTTTTAATTTTTTTTTGGTTAGCACTTTTACTTACACTTAAACCTCGTTTGTTAACTATATATTTTAGTTAAAAAATTAAAAAATTATTATAAGTTGTCACATCACTCCCTCTATTTTTTTACACATATTTCTTAAAAAGTCAAAAAGTTACTACAAGAGTCTGCTCCCAAACGAGACCTTAACACGTTCCTTCTTAAACCATTCTGTTTATTTGTTAATTATCATTATATATGTATATCATGTGTGTATAAGTGGGATTAGGTAAAAATTTCAATTTTTGTGTGAAAATGATTTGCCTTAGTTGAGGGAGATTTAAAATCTTTGGATCAACTTTAAAGTTGACTAAAATTCTAATTACAGATTTGTTTTGAAAGGTCTATGCTCGAATGGAAATGGCCCAATAAACAAAGTTCACTACTCGACCCCGACCTAATGCGGTTTCGGACAATTTTTTAAATGGCAACTTCAAATTATTAATTTTGCCATAGTGTCAACGAATTGCTTTTGTTATAAATTTTTTCTAACAATTTATTTATTTTTTGTTTTGTGAAAAAGTAAAATTTCTAACTATTCTTCTAGACAATAATAAAATTATCTGAATTATTAATTGAAATAAAATTTTAACATTATTAAAAACTGTTAATTAACTTGATTTATTAGTAAAATGACATATTTGTTATGAAATTAGAAACCTTAAAAAGTCAAAAAGCTACTACAAGAGTCTGCTCCCAAACGAGACCTTAACACGTTCCTTCTTCTTAAACCATTCTGTTTATTTGTTAATTATCATTATATATGTATATCATGTGTGTATAAGTGGGATTAGGTAAAAATTTCAATTTTTGTGTGAAAATGATTTGCCTTAGTTGGGAGAGATTTAAAATCTTTGGATCAACTTTAAAGTTGACTAAAATTCTAATTACAGATTTGTTTTGAAAGGTCTATGCTCGAATGGAAATGGCCCAATAAACAAAGTTCACTACTCGACCCCGACCTAATGCGGTTTCGGACAATTTTTTAAATGGCAACTTCAAATTATTAATTCAACAATGATTCATCCCCCATTTTCCTCCCACCCCCTTTGACCCCCTCTCTCTCTCATTGGTTATATTTTTTTTTTCTTTTTCTTTTTTTTCCTGCTCCTCCAATCACCACCCGCCACGTGGCAAATGGGGGGTGAGGGGGTGACCCCCAAAAGGGGGTCCCAAGCATTATTCTTATTAATTTTGCCATAGTGTCAACGAATTGCTTTTGTTATAAATTTTTTCTAACAATTTATTTATTTTTTGTTTTGGCACTTTTTTTTGATTGTTTAATAGCCAAAATTGAGCTAATTAAGGGGTTGTTTGGGGTGTCCTAAATAAGCGTATTTTTTGTCTTTTTGGACTAAAAGTTAAGAGAAAAAATATGGATGTTTGGGTTAACTTTTTGACTTTTCATGAAAAAATGTATAATAAAAAATTGTAAAAATTGATTTGTAGAGGAAAATTAAGATTGGGAGTTGTGCAGCCGTAATTGTTGACTTTTGATAAATAGTGTTAATTTTTGAACTTTTTGAATAACGTTTTTACCTTTTAACGTTTTTTACATATCCCAAACTTGGCCTAAGTTGCCAATTTTAGTAATCGTATTTAGTTTTGTTGTGATTGACAAGGAATCGCCCTAGTTGTTTTCTTATAGGTCCCAGTGCTATTTTTGGTTATAAATAATGTTACAACTCAGGAGTCAATGATCAACAATACATAAACGCCATAATCGGTTAAGGGATATTTTTTTATTGGGTTATTCAGTTAAGGGTTGTTTTAATCAATTTAATCCTTTTTTTTTTTTAAAAGTATATCATTAGATCTATTTAATGTAATATGACCAAATTACTCTTTTAATTTTTTACACACGTTTGGATTTCAAAACTAATACACAATAAAAAATAATAATATTATCTCATTTTATGGAGAAAATCTATCTCTCATTCTAACGAGAAAATCTCTCCATTATTCTATAGAGAAAACCTTTCCCTCATTCTAAGGAAAAATCTCTTCCTTATTCTATAGAGAAAATATCAAATTATGAACTTTCAACTCTTTTATAATGCGAAAATTTTACAAATAATGTAACAAAAAATCTAAACAAAAATGAAAATACAATGTGAATGTTCACAGTAAACAACAAATATAGAACTAACTTTCAAAAAAACAAAACACATATTAAAGTACAATTTGAATGTTCACAATAAGCAACAAATATACAACTAACCTTTGAAAAAATAAAACTCATGCCAAAATAGAATGTAAATGTTAACAATTTACATTTAGCATACAATTAGCCTTAAAAAATAAATAAAAATAAACTCATGCCAATGTAAACATTTACACTGCAACGTGAAAACATATAAAAAAAAAGGTAAATTATACAAATAGTCCATATAGTTTATACGATGTGTCAATTTAGTCTATGTTGTTTCAATTTGCTTGATTTTACCATTAATTTAATGGATTGTGTCATCTTAGTTCATTAAATAACGGTTGTTAAGTTTGGTGGACTGAAAGTCAAACTATGTGTGAATTTGGTCCCCGTAGTTTACATAATATGTCAATTCGGTCCCTATCAAAATTGGGCAAATTAAAACAACATGGACCAAATTGACAGACTTTGTAAACTACAGCGATCAAGTTGACACATTATGTAGACTTTTTGTTTACCAAAATTAACAACCGTTATTTATTGGACTAAAATGAGACAATCCGTTAAATTAAGGAGCAAAATCGACCAAATTGAAACAATAGGGACTAAATTGATACATCGTGTAAACTATAAGGACCATTTGCATAATTTACCCTAAAACGTAAAAAAAAGTGAAATTCATTCAATGATAACAAAAATGATTATTCGACCAATAAGCATATTAACAAAAACAACAAACATATAACTAACTTTCGAAAAAATATAACTTATATCAAAATATAATGTGCATATTCATAATTTACAATTAACATACAACTAGCCTTAAAAAAATAAAAATAAAAATAAAATCATACTAATGTGAACATTTACACTGCAATGTGAAATATAAAACAAAATTAAAAAAAAGTAAAAATCGACTATTTAGATTGTTCAATATAAAAAAAATAATTGTTCAACCAACAAGTATAGTAACAAAAACAACAAACATACAACTAAATTTTGAAATTTTTTTTTAAAAAAAAATTCATTCAAAAATAAAATGTGAATGTTCACAATTTACAATTAACTTACAACTAGTCTGAAAAAAACTAAATTCATACCAATGTGAACATTCACTCTATAAACATGAAAAAAAATTGAAAGAAAAAAAATAACTATTCCAATTGTTTAACGGCAACACAAAATGATTGTTTAAACAAGCAGCATAATAACAAATAATATACAAAAAATCATCAAATAGTTTATATATATTGACGAACTTTTTAGAAAAATATGTATATAATCAACGCTGGTATAATACTGGTGAATAAATTATACAATACCGGTAGCTACACAAATCAACGAAGAGACTACGGTTTATGTGTAATAGTGGTAAAAAAAAATGATTGTTCATCACTGGTTTACTATCATCTCTGTTATGAGTCCATCATCATCTCTATTATCGGTTTACAACTAACTTTTTCCTCTAAATGTTCTATTATTTGTGGTACTATCAAGCGCCATTAAAAAAAGAGTTAGTGACACTTGTAAGTGTCATTACACCATCAAGACTAAAACCTTTCAGTGGCACTATTCGTGACGCTATCAAGTGCCATACATGACAATAATTCGTTGTAGAACAATTTGATCCGCTCTTGCGGAGACTCGAACCGCCAACCTTCCGCACCATAAACCTTATACACCACATTCTTCCCACTACACCTCTATAGCACCACATGATTATATATGCAACATATATTATTTATATAGTACATACATCCATATTAATATAAAAGTATATGTATAAACATAATTATTTTATTGAACATAATTTATGTAAAATAAACTATTTACTACCAAAAGAAATAAAAAAAGACCACTTTTGGTGACTAAAAATATTTTTAGTCGCCAATTCTATACTTTTGGTTACTAATTATTTTTTAGTTGCTAAAAAACTTAACTTTTGTCGACCAAAATCGGATTTGGTCGCCGAAGATGCACTTTCAGCTATCAAAATTTTGGTCGCCAAAAAATTTAATTCCCACCTTAGGATTTTAGTTCTCTCGCGCTAAAAATAACCACTTTTGGCGACTAAACTTATTTTTTATAAGTGCCATAAAAAGTAATTTGCACCTACCT